TCATCCACCCCCCCCCCCCCCCCCCCCCCACTCGCATATCATCACAGTGCAATGGAGAGAAAAAAACAAACACACGGCAAGGATTTTTCGGGCTGAAAATGTTTCATTAAAGCCTTTCAACCACAGGTGTTTTTTCTGGGGTTTCTGCATTGCCTTGGCAGACTGGCAACAAAGTAATTAAGATTAATATATCCTTTATGATAACAATGATAACAATGTGCAAATATCAACCCATCAGACTGTGTGTGTGTGAGCGCGCGCGTATGTGTGTGTACCTTCGTACCATTGTCTTCGGCTACAAGCCCACTGATCGGGTAGGCTAAGGTGGGTGAGCTCCAGCTGTCCCTCTGCCCGTAGCCTCGCGAGTTGCTGAACTCCCAACGCTTCTGTTGGAGCTGCTGCAACCAGGAGTGCATCACCTGCTTGCTGGGGGCCTGGGGGTGCAAGCACACACAAACCCTTTTAAGATGGACGCCCAACCTGCACCATTTGCTGAACTGCATCGGACTGAGAACCAAGTTAGACCTTACTTAACTGCCTAAGAAGAGCATCAAACAGCTGCAGCTCATTCAGAGCGCTGCAGCTCGGATTTTTCCCGGAACAAAGCGATCAGAACATATTACTCCAGTTCAAAAGACTTACACTGGCTCCCAATCAGCTGGAAAATAAATTTTAAAATGAGGCTACTGTTCCAAAAATCACTGATCGCCTTAGGTCCTCAAGACATGAAATAAATGCTCATGGAATATAAACCCAGTAGGGTTCTGAGGTCAGGAGACTTGGGGCAATTAGTGGAGCCCAGAGTTCCGAGCAAACACAATGCATCAGCATTTAGTTGTTATGCTGCAAATGGAATAGGCTGCCGACAGAACTGAAGTTAGCTCTAAGTGGAAATGCTTTTAAATCCACTTTAAAAATTACACCCCACCCCCATACCTGTAATTTAAGGTCTATTAGAGCATTTCTATAATGTTTTTTTTACAAAATCATGGTCTTGCTCTTGTGCTGTGCGTTCATTCAGTTATTTTTTTAAAGTAAGAAATTGTATAAATGTGTCGTTTTAAGTCAAAGGATACACCCATGGTATTCATTATAAGAGCATATATATGATATTTCGAGTGGTGCAGCGCATGCAAAAAGATTTGGAACTGCTGGGTTCCATCCGAAAGTTGCTAACAGTTACATTTTCCCAACCATTTCAACTCTCCGAACTGAATCTGAGTAGGAAACATTTATTTGTACATTCTCTGAAAATAGCCCGTAACAAATTTCAAAACCCACTGACATCCTCCCGGCGTAGGACATACTGATTAGCAACCTATTGTGAATTAAAACAAATGTTTTGATCAAATAAATAAACAAACAAATAAATAAAGTTGGGGGTTTCCACTGATTCTCTTTTTTTTTTCTTCTTAGTCATTCATTGAATTACAGTTTTGCATTTATGGGAATGAGCACAGAAGCTCCAGCCTCGCCTGGAGCCACGCAATGTGTTTGGCATTGATCATTCTCCACCATCTGTTTGAAAATGATGACGCAGTCGGTGCGAGTCTCAACAGGATCATGTGATGACAATCACATGACACTTGGAGCCGAGGGAAAAACGTAACTGTCATCATCCACTACCTGTCACCACCTGCAAAGCGAAAGAGATACTCTGCCGTGACCGTGTCTGCATGCGAGTGGCTCTGTGTTTTACTTGAGTAATCATTTTTTTGATCACCTTTTCCTTTTTACTCCCTACTTTTGAAAGATGATATCTGTACTTACCGGATGACTCATAAAAAAGATACTGATTGTGATTGAGTGAGATCTTGAGGGGTTATAAGGTGGGGAAAAAACAGGGACAGGCAGAAACGTGGAAGAACATCATCCAGGGAACTGAATCTGACTTTCACTTTCATTGGGAGGAAAATGTTTGTGAAGCCTTTTGGAATTTCTTAAACTCCCCTGACCTCAATGAGATGTTGTGGCATGACCTAGAGAGAGCTATTCACACCAGACATTCCAGGAATCTTGCTCAACTGCAACAGTTTTGTCAAGGGAAATGATCCAAAATTCATGCTGGTTCTGCACATCTGATCTGCAACGCCACGAAACGTTTTGAAGATATTGCTGCTAAAAGGAGGTGAGGCCAGTTATTAAATCCATGGGGTCACTTAAATTATCCTCCTCAATTAAAAAAAAAGAAAACATAAGCGAGTGCGTGCTATTAGTTTATGCAAACTCACTACATTTTGCAAACAATTTATGCTGAAATTTCAGAAATTCCAAAGGGTTCACATACTTTTAGTGAAGGAGTAAAATCAGATACGAATACCGTAATCGTACTTCTACTTTGAGGACATAAAGAGTACAGTAATTTTGCCACCTCTAGTGAGTGCGAGAGTGTGTGAGTGCGTGCGCGCGTGTGTGTGAGAATAAGCAAACTACTCAGGCTTACATGAGCAAATACACTGCATTATATCACTTAACTATTAAAACCCCATCGTGACAATAAAGCATGGTGTGAATGGGTGTGTCAGTCGTGTAAAACTAAAGGGAAAGAGTGGGATGACATGACAGCACCACCTCAGAAAGTCGCGCGAGTGCGTGTGTGTGTGTGTGTGTGTGTGTGTGTGTGTCTCTGTGTCTGTCGGAGGGGGGGGGGGTGCTTGTTCGAAAAGCTGATACTGTACCTTAAGTAGAAACTCTTTCCCGGCCGTGCTGATCTGAAAGTGTCCCTCTTCGGCTTCCACGTCGTAGCTGAAGCACGCATCGCCTATTTCAATGTGTCCAAGAGGCAAGGCGTCCTGAGGACTCTTGAAGTAATACAGATAACATTTCCTTGGATCGTAAACGAACCACCGCGGCTTGTACCCCCTCAGGGGCCCCTTGCCAGACAGTTTGCTCAAGAAGCCGCACAGCTTGGATGTGTGCTCCTTCGGCACCTCCACGTCGACTCCGTCGACCGCCTTGACGGAGGCTTCGAACCGAGGAGCTGGGCCGGAGTTCGGCTCAACGCCATCCTCCTCTTCGTGCATCTTTCCCCAAAGTTTCTTCTTCGTGCAGCGTAACGGATGCCCACTCCTGTTTCCACCCGCATGACTGGCCGCCTTCAGGGCAAAGCATCATGGGAGTTGAAGTCTATTTTGGGAATGCGGAAGTGACGAGTTTGCCGCTGAATGGCGCTGTTTGCCGCGATTAGTTTGCCCACAAAACTCAAACGTGCTGATAAACATTTTGGAGATTATTACTAAATGTTAAATTGCTTCAATTAAAAATATTGATGTATGCTGAGGCCATAAATATTGGGTCGGGGTGCAACTGACAACACTACAGCAACGGTATGAGTAGTCGATGTACTCAACACAACTGTGTGTTAGTCCAGAATATGAGTAAAACGTATTGTTCCAAATAATTACTTGAGTAAAAGTAGTGAGTATTTCATGAAAAAATACTCAAATATTACGCAGGCTAATTGGTGGGTAACTTCCAATTAATGTATTTTTAAGTGCATGAATGTCAATAGAAAAAAACGAGGACGCGTGCAAATTAAAATATTGCCCGACAATATCCTTTAAAACAAT